GAACTTTATATTTGGAAAGTAAAATAGAGGATTGTGTTGGAGATGCCCTTAGATAGAATTAGAAGTCCCTTGGCTACGAGAAATATTTATTATTTCTCCATCTAATTATAATTGTTCACTATATTAAAAATAATTATCTAATTTAATAAATTAAGAGTTAATTTACTGGCTCACTTATTATACGAAAGACTAAAACACAAAAGATAACTCATGAAAATAACTAAAAGTAATACTTGGCCAAAGTGGCTACTCGTATGCTTTCCTAAGTTTGGCTCAAGCTGTAACTCTCAAGTTCAAGACTACTCAAGCAAATCGGGAAGTTGGATCCCGTGTGAACCAAAATGATACTATTATTTTCTATTTAATACATTTTTCAAAATAATAAATTTAATAAAGTCAAAAAATAATATAATAATATTACATCTATTATTTATTATTTCTTATAAAACACAAATCAATAGTGTACAATAATTATCAGACAGGAATATTTTTTAAAATATATATTTACCCTTATATTTCAAAATCATTGCTAGATATGCATTTTATTTAGTTTTTAATCCGAAAAGTGTGCCCATAAATTTTAAATTTAAAGAAGTGTTTCAAACGTGTTTTTTTTCATCTTCATAAATTTTAAATAAAATACCATCTTTCATCTCCTAAGTCCTAGGTAGAATATATCTAATTCTAACTTCATAAAAGAAAAAATTTCCCTTTTATATAATTTTATCTTTCTCCACTTTCCATCACCTTTTCCTACTTTACATGTGGGTTAGTCATATGTGATTGTATTAATAATACATATATAATTTCAATGATATTTCTGGCTGATCTTTCCATATCTTCTTCTATCAATTTTAAATTTAAAAAGACTATTAAGTTAATGAATAATCAACAAAATCTTTTACATCTATAATAGTAATAGATTATTCATAAATTATACTTAATCATTTGGATTTGACTTTCCAGACTTATTTATTTGTTTCCATAATAGCTATTTTAAGTATTTAACTGATTTGAATACGTTTTTATTATTATAATTTTAAATAATGTTTAAATATCATTAAAAGATATATTTTTTTTATGATATTATTCACCATGGATGCATCTAACAATCATTAATTTTCATTATTGCCAACTATTATTACCATCTCACAATCAACAATTGTCATTTATTATTGTCGTCTCACCAATCACCTTTATTATCATAATCATCCTTGACAAGCACTTTTTACTACGTCATAATACCACTTTGTGGTTAATTTTACTACTAATCAACTCCACCATCACAACTAACATTGTAATCAACGTAACTACCACAAATATGTCCTTTCGGGATCATCCGATAAAAAAACTATCACAAATACATCATCCGACACCTTACATTCTCTTGATATCACTATCAACCATCAGTTGATACTACACCAACCACCTTCATTATCACTATTATTAGCCAGTAGCCTAACCATTATCACTATGTCACCACTACAAACCATCTCCACCATCACTAGCGAACGAAAATATATCATATCTTAATATTGAATTTATTTTTATTCAATCATATATTTATTAATATTTACAAACAAATAATTTTAATTATTTAATGTTCATGCATATCTTAATAATAAAATCACATTAGGCTTGACCATTATTCTTGTCTTTTTATTAATAACTCAATTTACGTGGCTTGAATTGAATTGTATCTTGAAATGATTTGATTTGACGATAATAAATACTTATGTGCCAACTACCACGTGAAGAAAATATTCCAAGTGATTATGTGTGATATACTATACTCTATATGACACAGAATTAAATATATTGATTGGTAGGTCGACACACGTGAATAGCATCAATATCCAAGCTAATAGAGTAGTGATATATAATTAATTAATTAATAATAGATTTGGGGAAGCTAAATCTGTCATCTAATGGTATTCCGAATAATACTCTCATCATATAGTATTTAATAAGATTTTTTTATGGTAAGTATATATTCACGAGATTAACACCTTGTGGTAAATGCTGAAACGGCATTTGTTTGTGATTTTTTTTTTTTTTTTGCAAAAACAATTTTTTTTTTTTAGCATGAATAAACAAGAAATGAAAAAAAGAACCAAGATTATAATAAAGAGTATACACATTTTTTAAAAAAAAACTAAAACAAAGAAAATAAATTAAATAAAGAGACAAAAAAGAAAGATAGTGTAGCTTTAATGGACCAACAAATAAAGGAAAACCGTGACGGAAGCTTCTAGCTAATTTGCCATCATTTTCCAGATTTCACATCATGGACTGGACGGTGAATGGAAAAAGACTTTTATATTACCCTTTTTTATAAAAAAAAAAGGTAATTAATCGTTTTAATATATCTATCTATAATTTGATTTATTTTTTTTAAAAAATTAAATCATATCATCATAAATTTAATATATGGATATATTATAATGTTATTTAATTTTTTCATGGTCAGGGCTATTTTCAGTTTTATTTTATATTTACTTAAAATCCTGAAAAATAAAATTTAGAAAGAGACAAAATTTCACTTATAATCTGAAATTTCAAAATTCAAAATAGTGAGTAAAAAGTGACGAAATGGGCGAATTACAGTTTTGTTTGAGTAAAGCCCATTTGACAATATTGTGACAAACTGTTTTTCAATTTGGGCCTAATGAACGACTAACACTTTATTTTGAGTCATTGTTATTCATTATTTCGTATTGTAATCTATTGTACTATATGGTATGGTAAATATAATATTATATCGTTTTAATACTATATTGTATTGTTTCATAATGAACGATTATATTATTTGTTATTATTTAGTAACATTGTAAATTTGTAATTATTTGGTTTGATTATATCGTATAGTATTGTAATTTATAAATTTACTAACGGAACACACCAAATTGGTTGTTCCATAAAATATGGGTTTTTGTTATTACATAATACAATATAATATATTTTAACTAACAATCAAAACAAACTTTATATAATATATTTTAACTAACAATCAAAACAAACTTTATATAATATATTTTAACTAACAATCAAAACAAACTTTATATAATATATTTTAACTAACAATCAAAACAAACTTTATATATGTATAACAATGATACATGATTACTTAAGAAAACATGGTTGATTAAATTGCAAGAAAGTCCCTGTTAGTATTTAATCAGTGAACATTTTCATCAAACGTGATCTCCATAGCTAACTATTCAAAAATAACCGAAGTATCGTGCGTGTTCATGAATCATCTCTCTAATCGATTAAGAACTTTTCACTTCAAGCTAGAATTATTATAAAAAAAAATAATTAACATACGTATTACCTACAATATGATCAAACTGATATTAATAAAAAAAGAATGAAGAAATTTGGTTTAACAATAAATGAAATCATCTCAAATTTATTTAAACCACCAATACATGCCAGTAAAATGAATATATCATCAATCATGTACAGATGATGCAAATAATAATTAAAAAGAAAAAAATAATCAATTCTTTTGGGCAGTTTTTTGGTACTTTTCTTTGATCCACTGAAATCCAGATGAAGTACCTTCTTTCATCTTCTTCATGCTAGTTGAAGCCACTGCCTTTGTTTTTTCTCCAACTTTCTTTGCCACTCCGACGCCAACCGCGGAGAAATCACCTTTTTTGTTCTCTTTGGAATAGGATTCTTTATGGTAGTCCCATTGATCAGCCCATGAATTCTCATATGCACTTTTTCTTGACATGTTTTATTGCTTTTTTGATGAAGAAAAAAAAACAGGAAGAGGTTTACCAGTAATGAGAAGATTTGGGAGAAAAGAGAATTAATATAATAATATATTAGATAAAGTCTTGAAAGTACAGTATTCTCCTTGCCAACTTGAGAAAGTGCATAAATATATGTATATATTATTAAGATATGAATAAATATAATGTATTATATAAGGATGATTTGGTAAACAGATATAGAATGGAGCTAGTCAGCAACAAAGAAGATAGAATGTAGTATGTTGACGATGTGATTTTATTGACTGTAACAAACTTATCTACAAAACCCACGCTTTTTTGGCCGAATGAATGTATACAATTTGCAGGCACGTATGAATCTTTTTTATTAAATTTTCTTTTTGTTTTTTCCATTATTTGACATTTCTATAAAATGACTATGTAAATAAATATTAAAAGAAATATGATGTATTAAATAAGATTATTTTTTCAAAAATTAAAAAAGATTTTGAAATAATTGAATGATTTTAATTTGGATTAAAAAGGAAATAGAAATTTCGCTGTTGTTCTTGTTCTAAGTAAAGGGAGTATTTTTTTTTTTACCATTTTCTATTTATTTTAATCTTAATTAATTCTACCAACAAATCTAGCCAACTTAATTGGAATTTGGTTAAAATGAAGAATTAAGTTTATCATCAAGTAGAAATACATATGATTTTTTCTCTATTTTAAAATAAGCGAATTGTTAGATTATTTTTTATAAGTTAAAAATAAGTGTAACTGTTCCGAGGCTTTTCTCTCATTTTTGTGCCGCCGCTAAAGCCAAAAATAATTTGGAAGCTTAATTTTTATTTATTTATTTATTTTTGAGATGCAAAGTTATTTTTTTTCTGTTTGTTCAATGTTTTTTATTTTTTAATAATTTTAAATTAAATATATATTAAATATTTTTTTAATTTTATAATATTAAACATGTTGTGTGGAAGTTAAATTTAAAGGTAGATAAAAAAGAAAGAAATATTCTATAATATTTTGAAACAAAGTAAAAAAACAGTTAAAATGTAAGACATTTTTTGTTGTTTGTTAAAAAGGACCCATACTGATTCTACTATTACCAAAAAAAAAAAAGTTGCTCCTCAAATTTGGGGCCTATAACGGATTTCTCATTTTTTAGGTGATAATTCCAATAAATATAATTATTATATTTATAATTTTACTTTAAAGTAACTAAAAGAGAAAAAATAAAAAACAGTTTTTAATCTATATTCTAAACATTTTTTGTTTTTATGTGTGCTCATTGCCTCAATAACTCACCAACGGAAATGGAGGGAATATAAGTTAACCGCAGGCTTTCAATGCTTCCAAAGAAGTGACAACTTTGTAGTTTAAGAACAATTAGAAATTAAAAATAAACTTTAGTCTGCAGTCTAATCAATAGGAGTTTTTCAGGTGACATTTTCCATTTTTTATAAATAAACTTTTTTTTTTCTGTAAATTCTGACTTTTTTTATTTTTCATTAAAGAGAGCGTTCATTTCATTAGTCAAAAGTCACAAGTACAATTGCTTTAACAACATAGCCACGATGAATTTTTTCTTGCAGAAACCGTAATGGGATATATATTGCGGGCAGGGGATATCCATATTACAAATATTCATTATAAAGCTTAATGATCGTGTGATCCCAAATCTTGCAAGTATTTCTGAAAAAGCCATTGTGATACATTAAGGGCATTGCCTCTACTTTTGATTGGGAAAACATTTCTGCTACTTTGCCAACTATTTGTAAGTTTGATCCACTCCCTCCTCCAAGCTTTCAAGTTGAAGCCCTTGCCTTCTTCTAAACTTTCTATCAGATACTTGAAATAAATTGCGGCACGAGGGCCATAATAATCTCGCAATAGCCCACTCCAATACTTGTTACCTAGAGAGAAGGGGACGAAAAATGAATCAACAAAAACCTTGTATGAAGTTCTATCCTCCAAAAGCTAAAACTTAATAGGCTAAGCTTGGGAAGTCTAGAGCATGGATATATAAGCAAGACAAGCTTGGATGTTTTGCATACCATAGTCGCGAAGCAAACTAGCTTCCAGCTCAGTGTTATCGAACCACATAGTAATCTGAGTTCTTGCGTTCCATTCAAACTGCAAATTGTCCATTCAAGTTAAAAGATCTTCTTGCTTTAAGCATGAAAGGTGTTTTAAGTAAAAGACATCTCTACCTGTCTTTCCTGATCTTCATCTTGAGCAAGTTCCTTTGCACTCTCTATCCAAGGTCCTAGAAGGAATCCATCATGGCATCCTAAAAGCATATCTAGATCTTCCACTAGGCCGAGAAACTTTTGGCTAAGGTGTGCAACAGCATGCAGATCATCTAATTTATATGCTTCTATAGCGTCTAAGAATAGTTCATTTGCGTACTTTGCCAAAACTTGTCTTGTCAGGTCTATAAGGTCATACCTGAGAAGATGGAGAACAACAACCACTACCCTCACGAAGTGAAGAAAGGAAATAAAGAAGGAAACTTAAAAGAGGAACTAACGTATCCAACCTGAAAGTACGGATGTCAGATAGTTGATTTCCACTCTCCAGGAAAAGTTTTAGTGCATGTATAACTTCTGAAGTTGAATACCAAAGATGGGGTTTATCATAGGAATCATTTGGTTCTTCCAGAATAGCTCTTCTTAAATATCTTTTTCCATATCGTTCATGGACATCGTTTAGTACTGTTTGCAGTGTTGAAATGGAATTTGGATCAACATCTGGAAATGAAACAATAACATCTCTATTTTTGTCCTTCACAAGAATCACAAAGGAAATGTTCAACATAAAAAAACTACTACTTTGAACATATTAAATAGGAGTCTTTGAAAGTATGATGATAAAAATAGGACTTTCTGGAGATTGATGCATGTTCTTGTATTGGCATCATAAGTGAGGGAGTGCATGCACATTCGGTATGTAGGAACCAGATCAAAGTTCGGAAATCAACAAAATATATAACCAATCCCTAATATCAGCAAAATAGCCAAAGGTTATAGCCATATCGCAAGTTATGTACAGAATAAAACTCCAATAATGTACCTAAATAGTTAAGGAAAGGAGAAGGAGAATAAACAAGTGAATTACTTTTCTAGGCTGGTAATCTCAAATTTCTTTACAGCACTACTTTTGTTAGAATTCAAATCTTGAAATGAGGCACTATACTAGAAATCATGAAAAAGGGCAAGTAATAACCATGTCAACTTGCCAATACTGCACAAGCATACACAATGGAACTATCAGACTATACTTATCTCCATCAAGAACAACCAGTTGTAGTCCCTTAGTATTTGAGGAGAGCATAAAGCTTAGGAGATTCTATCAATTTATTTTGAGATGACACTACTTTTTGCATTTTCTTCTCCTTTTCTCCACTAAGCAACTTGCACCATCCTAAATGTTCTTTACACATTTGTCCTGAATAATCTGTCTTAAAACCAATTCCACACATGTATCTACCTAGCCTTTCAGATCTCCAAATATTTTTAGTTCCTAGGTGATGCAGAGTATATACTTCTAGAGGAGCATATTTGAAAGATCCCACCTAATTATATCAGTTATAAACATGATATTATCATATGTCAAGTGCAAACAGTGCTTCCATTAATTTATATCATATGTCTCTAAAGATCCTTAAAATACCTCTTTGTGTAAGGACAAGTCAAAGATACAGAATTTACTTGCATAAACACCTCAAATGGAAGAACAAGGCAGCAATAAGCAGGTTTTACTTACATAAGCACCATCAGTGCAATTATAGATGGTATGATACAAAATATTCCAGGCATCTTGCATGGGCTGAACAAATCTCCCATAACGTCTTCTGGAGTATAGATCTATCCAAGCCTACAGACAGTGTTTGATTGACTTATTAAGTGCCACTACGCAACCAGAATCATCATTAACCGATAACATATAGAAGTACTATGACATGAAAACATGCTAGTTTGAACTGCTTTGTCTCTCAAACTATAGAATTTGTCAACATAGCAAAATCTTGTAAACTTGAAGAATCTTGACCATGCTGTAGTCAAAACTGAATAAGTAAAAGGATAAAGGGTATTACATACAATTTACAAAGCAAAGAACTTTGGATACTTTCTTATAGCTAACACAGTTCTTCACATACATTTGCTTGAACTGATAAGTCAAAGGAAATTACTAATACACAAAACAAAGGATCCAATTTGACTAAAAAGGAAAAGATACAGAAGAAATCAAATGATAAACTCCAGCATTGTACATAAAACCGTTACATTACCTTGACATCAACTGGGCTATGCTGAAAAGCCATTTCAGACATAAGATCGTACACCACAGGGTTCTGTTCAATGCCTTCCATTGACATCCCAACACCAACCTTTAGGCAAGGAAAAAAATTAAGACTATGTGATTCATGAATAAATTCAGTGAATAGAAAGGACTGAGAAACATGACAAATCGAATTACATGAACAAGATCCTAATAGATTTGTGAATTGCAGATCCAAATCCAACACAACTAACAGAACAAATAATCTCGTATAACTATTACCTATACCACCTAAGCTATCCTGTAATCTCTAAATCAATGAAAAAGGAAGCGGTAGACAGTTTCATTTTGAAATCCCTTCAGAAACATTCTCAGAAGAAATTGATGGAGTTGCATGAGCATTGGAAGTAACTCAACCGCATTGCCCAAAGATCCTAACAGATCAGGATATCAAAGATCCAAAAAATGGCAACCTACTTATAATTCTGTATTGGATACACAATTATAAGGAGAATGAAAACCTAATACGATTAGAACAAAACTTACCATGGTTGAGTTTTCACTCGTACGAGCTTCAACAGGTCCTGATCCCACAGCATCAAGAACTCCATACATTTCAACATTACCAGCAAAATTGTGTAGCATACACCTGAGACATTGGAAATAAAAATCGTAAATACAAACCGAGTAATTTTAAAAAGACAATTTCAGGTGGCAATAGCTAATATACTAGCTCCATTGATTGGAAAAAGGCTGAGCCAAGGCTGGTGAGAAAGCTCCAACCCAAAAACTAGGAAATTCACGGTATTTCATCTCTAGAATGAATAAGGCCTGAACTGATTTCAAGTCTTATATGAATTACTGCTAACTACACCAGAAACCCATATTATGAGATTCGTGCTCACTGGTTAAACTTTTATGGACTTCATGGTCAAAACCTGTATGGTGTCTAACGCTCTTAAAACCAAGGTCAGGCATGCTTATTATTGTCAGCAGCCCGACATGACATCATGACTTAGATTCGTGATGCATATAGAAATAATATATGCAACTACTTTCTGAGGACAGTTCAGAATGTATTCTTTAAGGAAACAGATTTAAAATAATTTATTGAAACCAAACTAACACCATTCCAAGTCATTACATGAAATATATGACATATCCAGTCAAAAAGACAACTTTAAGATTAGTTCCAACTGAAACAGGGCAGATGAACTGAGTAAATAATATGCTAACTATGGGAAGACTATATCAGATGCACAAAAGAAAAATAGCAATGTTACTTTCCATATGTATGGGATTCCATAGAACTGCTTCGAAGTAGCCCATATTGGTTTAACTTCAGCATAAAGATCAAGAACTATCAACTTGCCAAGAGGAACAGAATGTAGAAGTGCCTGAAAATAGTGCATGCAGATAATTAAAACTTCAAGGCCAAATTTTGGAGCATCCTATAATTCATCCAAAACATCATAGTACCATGCCCTCAATATTAAACAGCTCATGGGAGTATGCAATATGCTTCAGCCAATCAGCATGAACTCTTTTTTCTCTTGATAAAGTAACCAGCATGAACATTAGATATTTTTATAGAGAGAAACAGAGATAAGATAGACGACCTTCATCTGTGTAGGTCTCCAGAAAGGATCATAAGTGAAAAGCCATCCCTAGAAAAGTAAAAGGAAATCATTGGTCAAAAATAAGAAAGGAGGAGTTAAACATGGATTAAACATTTGGTTTCATCACTTCGAAGACAAACTGTGTGCGCCATGCCAGAGAAATAAACTAACACTTCTATGATTGAGGCGAAGTAAAGCCAGGATGTTAAATTAATGCCCAAATGAAGAACTAAACACGATTAACTAAATAGAATTTTCAAACACCGGTAGACATAAAATTTAGAGATTTTCAAATCACTGGAAAATCTGCTACTAAAAAGTTAAGCTTTTTTACCTGCATTAGCCAAACTGCATCTGAATCGGCACTTTGCATTCCTTTAAAGATTGTGGCCCCCAGAGAAGAGATATAATCTGGATCATCAACAGGAGGTGTGTTCTCATCAAAGGTATCACTGCAATAGATTGACATTTTCCAACTAGGATGAGACAAAGTTGGGCAAGGCTACAATGATAGGCTATTACCACATGTGACCATCACAAGAGCTCTATGCAACCATGTCAGTTCTTGATTCATAAACAAAAGATGCTAGGAAATTGGAGATCATGTTGATGGAAAGAGGACTTCTTGAAAATGGAGATGAAGAATTAGTCACTTATGCTAGCATGTCGAGAGTTTAACAAGTTCTAACTATTCGAAGGAACAAAAAATCATGAAAA